AAATTTATATTTTTTTGGTCACAAGGAATAATATAAACAACTAAAAACGTTTCAGTCGGTATGAACCGATTGAATTATACCCTGCACCTTTCATTGTTGTATAGCAATTACTCAAACCTGTGAAACCATTCTATAGAAACTTCGCGGATATGTCTGATCTATAACTGAACACACAACTACCAAGTTTCGTGAATTTGACTTTATTATTTTTCCAAATATTTAAAATTAGCTTTTGGAGTTGTATGGCAGGTACCTGAACCTGCCAAGCAATTTCACTAAAACTTCGCTAATATATCTGATCTATAATTGGACACACAACTGCCAAGTTTCATGGATCTAACTTTATTACTTTTCCAAATATTTAAAATAAGCTTTTGGACTTGTATGGGAGCCACTCGAACCTGTCAAGCAGTTCCACAAAAACTTCAGAAATATCTTTGACCTATAATTGGACACACAACTGCCAAGTTTAATGAATCTGTCTTTATTATTTTTCCAAATATTTAAAATTAGCTTTTGGAGTTGTATGGCAGCTACCCGAACCTGCCAAGCAATTCCACTAAAACTTCGCAAATATATCTGATCTATAATTGGACAAACAACTGCCAAGTTTCATGAATTTGACTTTATTATTTTTCCAAATATTTAAAATTAGCTTTTGGAGTTGTATGGCAGGTACCCGAACCTGTCAAGCAATTCCACTAAAAGTTCGCAGGTATATCTGATCTATAATTGGACACACAACTGCCAAGTTTCATGAATCTAACTTTATTACTTTTCCAAATACTTAAAATAAGCTTTTGGAGTTGTATGGGAGCCACTCGAACCTGTCAAGCAATTCCACCAAAACTTCAGAAATATCTTTGTCCTATAATTGGACACACGACTGCCAAGTTTCATGAATCTGACTTTATTATTTTGCCGAATATAAAAAATTTGCTTTTGGAGTTGTATGGCAGCCACCCGAACCGGTGCAGCTATCTCATTAAGATTTTTAAAGCATATGTAGAATATAATTGGACACATGTATACAAAATTTTATATTTGTACCTTTATTAGTTTTTGAAATAATTAAAATAAACTCTTTGAGTTGTATGGCAGCTACCCGAACCCGTTGTCCGAATTGGTCCAATAACAATAGGGTTCGTCCTTGGCACAAAAGAAGCAACTTGTGAAAGTTTGGTGTCGATTGCATTATTCGTTTTTGAGTTATCGTGCGATCGGACGGACGGACGGACGGACATGTCTAAATCAACGCAGAATTTTACGCTGAGCAAGAATATATATATATGTCCATACCGCAGATGACTCCTTCAAGTAGTTACAAACTCCATACCAAAGTTAATATACCCTTCACGAAGTGCAGGGTATAAAAATGAGCTAAATAAGTTTACGAATTGAGAATTTTTCGTACGTAAAAAACTAGGCAAAGGTTGAATTTGGGATTGAAAATTACATTGAAAATACAAAATACACTAGAACGTTTCTACATAAAAAAATAATTAAAAAAAGACTGTCTCCGATAAATTTAGAGATTAGAAAAAAATATTTGCTACCAATAAATACTTAATGTAAGTTGCTGATTATGTGTTTTTACTTTGTAACATAAATGCTTTACTTTGTAAAATATGGAGAAATGCTACGAGCACAATGTAGATCTTCATTTGCTCTTTATTGACTATAAACAAGCTTTTGATAGTGTAGATAGAATTAAATTAGAAATAGCACTGAAAAGACAAGGAATACCGCAAAAACTTATAAATTTAATGATAATGACAATAAAAAATTCAAAAGCCAAAATAGTTTTACAAGGACAAACCTCGGGTGCATTTGAAATTAAAACTGGTGTGAGACAGGGAGATGCACTATCTGCACTAATGTTTAATCTTCTTCTACAACATGCTTTAGGAAAATGTTATACTGATGGTAACATTTTTTCAAGAACGTCACAAATAATGGCATATGCAGATGATGTTGTTATAATTGGGAGAAGTGTCAGGGCCATGTGTGAAGCGTTCGTAAAAATCGAAAATGAAACATCAAAAATCGGTTTAAAAATAAATGAGGCAAAAACAAAATACCTAGAAATGTCTAGAGCACCGAGAAGGCGACAATTACAAAATATGACAATTGGTCAATACAATTTCGAACGTGTAACAAGTTTTAGCTACCTTGGGGCTGTAGTTCGCAACGACAATTGTATGCACTATACCATAAATGATAGAATACAAGCGGGCAACAGGAGCTATCACGCCAACAAGAAACTCATACAATCGAATCTACTGTCCAGACGAACCAAGCTAATTATATATAAAACAATTATACGTCCAGTTGTGACATATAGTAGTGAGACATGGTCAATGACAAATGGTGATATGCTAGCCCTGCGAGTATTTGAGCGAAAAATATTAAGAAAAATTTTCAAAGCAAGAAGATTGGATAATGATGAATATGAAAGACGAAGCAATAGTGAATTAGAGCAGTTAATAGGGGGAGAAGATATCGTTAGATTTATAAAATTACAGAGATTAAGATGGGCAGGACACGTGGCCCGAATGGATGATGAAAGGGCACAGTTCAAGATTTTTAATGGTCGTCCTTACCTCAGTCGTGCAAGAGGTAGACCAAGAACAAGGTGGGTCGACAATGTAGAAAGCGATGCGCGAAAGCTAGGGATCCAAAATTGGAAAACATCGGCGCAGGAAAGGACAACTTGGAGGCAAATTGTGCAGAAGGCCAAAGCCTACCCCGGGCTGTAGTGCCAAATGATGATGACTTTGTAACATATGCAGACAAAAACGTACATGTCTCAATAAATTTAATACCGCAAACCACTTACCCAAATCCAGCTTGATACGGAAAGATATAATATATGTTGATATTTGTGTTACGAACACTCATATATTGTATATTTTTTAAATCAAAATTCTATAATTTGTAGATTTTAAAAAAATTTTTTCTGCTATTACTTAAGCTATCGTGAATTTTCAACTTTTAACTTAAATAATTGATGCAATGTTTTATTATTGTTGCTATAAACGAGTCCTTTCTTTGTTAACTACAAAAGATAGATGCTGTTCATATAAACTTGTTACAATGACTATACAATTTGCGAAAGATTATTGAAACGTGTGTTAACAGTAGTAATTTGTCATTACGGTTTCGAAAAATAAAGAAATCAAAGTTAAAAGAAAGAACGTTAAGGTTCTTTGCAATTTAATACAAAGAGTATAATACAATTCAATTTTACAATATTGTTCTTGTTGATCTCATTTTTTAGCACTTTTCCAAAAATTTTTTGAAAAAAAGTGCTTATTAGTTTCACGCTGTCCGTCCGTCCGTTCGTCCGTCCGTCCGTCTGTCCGTGTGTCTGTTTACAAAACTTCTACACCCTTGAAGATAGAAAGCTGAAATGTACATAGTTATGTACATTTCAGCTTATGCATTTATATGTACATAGATCTTTACTAGAAACTTATTTCTGTAGAACAAAATTTTTACCTATCTCCTCCCCTCTAGAAGTTATACCCCCCCAAAACCCTAAAAATGGCCTTTTTTAACTATTTGTTGCAATGAAACCATAAGCATTTTTGAAATTTTGCAAACGCAGAAAAGCAGCGGCTTGCTTCCCCTAGCGCGGCATACTATATTTGAACTTTAGAAAAACAAAATGGCCGTTCAAATTTACCGTTATCTAAAGTCCTTTTTTTGCAAATTTTTGATGTCGTTTTTTTTCCAAACTACAGCCTGTAGAAGCTTGAAATTTTAGGAGCTTTTAGACATTATCAAATAGTTCATTTCGCTAGAAGAAAATTTTTTTCCATCTCCACCCCCTCTCAAGTTATCGCCTCTTGAAATTTGTAAAATTTGAATTTTTGACACCTTATATTTCCGAAACCGCAAGCTTTTTCAAATTTCTATTAACGCAAAAAGTTAACGGTAAATTCCATGAAATTAAAAAATATAATTATTTTTCTTAACTCACAAAATTAAACCATAAAATCGAGCATTATGTTAACCCCACTTTATATTAATTTTTGCTTTATTTCAAAGACTGCATAAATCATTCATCCTAAATATATGCAATCCTAGAAATAGTTTTGTATATGAATGAAAATAATTTTAATAGTGTGATAGGTACATAGACTACATAGACTGTATTTAAAAGCAAAATTTTCATTTGTTGAAGGGAAAAGTGCTACAATACAAACCATTGGTTTGACCCAACTTTATTAAAATTTCAATAATAGCTAATTGTTTTTCTGAGCTACAGCTGAAATTTGTAATACTTACTTTATTTTTACATACATATTTTTTAATTAAATTTTAAATTAATTTATTTTGTCTTACGAAATAAATATCGCGGCCTTGAATTTGTAAAATAATGCCATTTAATTAGTATTTATATTTAAAAATGTATTTCTTTTTAATAATAAAAATTTTTTGAAGAATTCTCATTTTTTTAATAGTCCTTGCACTTTGATGTTATTTTCTTCTGGATTTTGTTTTAAAATTTTTTTTATTTGAAGAAATTAAATTTTTATTGCATAATTAAAGAAAATTACCGACTTTGTTATTTTCAATTTATCAAAATTGACATCGTGGAAGAGGTCGGTATCATTTACTAAATCAGTGAAAGAGAAACTCACTATTGAAAAAAAAGTAGCGAAAAACGAAATTTTTTTTTAATTCGTAAATATATGTCTTCATTTGAAATGTTCGTTTTAATTATCTTGAATTGTAGAAAATAAAAAATGGTAGACAACATTTACATAAACTTGTGAGATCGAACCTATTGTAACATCGCCTTGTAGACACCTCTTAGTCAAAATTGATTTGTGTCCTATTTTAATTTGAATCCCTTGATGGCTTAATTTTGAGAATCATTGTCTTCTTCTTCTTCTCTCTTTGTCGTTGTCTAATATTTGGAATAGGCTCTCCTTGTCCTGCCTCTATAGGAATTCCTATCCTTTCCAGGTTGTCGTCATTGATGTCTTTATTTATAATGTTAAGCTATATGGCGGTTGGCCTTCCTCTGTTCTGGTTGGTTCATCGATGTTGAGTGCGGTTTTTACGATATGGTTTTCGTTCCTCCTCATTATATGTTTTTCTGTTGGTATTATAAAATGACCCTGTAAACGCAAGGTGTTTTTTGGATTCTTATGCGAACTCTCGCCAAATAGTAAGAAGAGATACTCATATAAAATGTTCCATGGCATTCGATCTTTAATTTCAGATGCGAGAAAATTCATCACTAAATTAAGTAGAAGAGGACTAAGCGCTGACCCCTTGGTGTATAAGGCTTTCCCAACCCGGTAATCAACCTTGTTAGGAATGGAGTCTGTCATACCACATGTAGTTCGGATCTGCGTAGTTCTATTCGTATACATATCTTGAATCAAACGTACAAAGTTTTCTGCGACTTTGTGTGATCTTTTCACACCAGCTCTTCTTGGTACATAATCAAAGGCCTTCTCGAGCTTCAGGAAAACCATGAAGTTTTGTTATTGTCAATGAGATTTAAAAAGATTATACGAAATTTGAAAAAAAATTTAAGTAAGAATAGCAATTTTTCTCTGGAACACATTTAATATTAAAACTTTTTCAACTAAAATCATACCTTTTCAACTCAAATTCTTGCCAACATTGCCTGTTCCATAGCTAGAAACGGATTGATATCAGCTACTTTAAACTATCGATAGACGCGAAATTTCGAACAAATTATTAATATTCTCTCTACTAATTCTGTTTGAGAACTGTTTTGAACATCGTCTTTCATGTTTCTACATCCTGAGAGAAACTTTTTAAAAAAACATGCTAATATGGCCATGCCGTTTACGGTTGCAATGGTTTTGAAAAACTTTGCAAAAAAAGTCCTTCTACAGCTTAAAATAGGTGAGTATTCAATTTTGACAAAAAATTAACTTTTTTATTTTTAGTTCTATAAATATAAAGTCACGTTTCAAATTTCAAATCGCACTCGTTATTGAATCAAAGTTCATCCAATAAAATTCACAAAAATAATCTAAAATACCTGGCATAAATGAAAGATATGCCTTTTTTGGATAAATATAAAAACGAAAGAAGAAGAAAAGCATGCTAAGAACCATATGGTGATCAAGAAGAATAACAAAATACTCGTTGAACACTTCTAAATTTCCTGATATACATTCATAAATAATGTTTAATATCTAAATCCAGGCAAGAAATTCTAGATGGATGTATAGTTTTTTTTGTTTTTTTTTTGAAGGTATGCATGATTATACATTTCTGTCATATCGAAGAAAACAAAATAAAAGACGTTTGTAAAAAAACAAAAAATGAAAACATTGTTAAATTTTTCTTCTTTTTTTTGTTTTGGTTAATCACCTCTGCTCCTTTCATAAAAAACGACATGCAGACATGTAAGCTAAAAAAAGATATGGTTTTATTTTTAGCATATATGTAAGTATTGGTGGCATAATATGAGTTTTCAGAATAACGCGTGGTAATAAGACCAAAAGTTTTTCAACATTGAAAGACTTTTGATTGTTAAGTAAGCCATCTATTGCTTCACTAAACTTGAAAATGATGATTATGAATTTAAATGCTCTGCATTAGCAATTTCTTTAAATTTTTTTTAAGAAAGTATTTTATCCATTTTTCACAAGAAAAGCAAGTTCTCTACATTTATATGTGTTTATATATATATATTTAAAGAAACCGCATCACATAATTCAAAGTTATCTCATAACAAAAACATTTATGAATTCTGATGTAACATGCTTTGAGAATTTGTAAAATATCACTAAAATATAAAGATCTTTTAGGCCAATTAAAAAAAATTAGAATTTTTTTTGTAAAATAAAAAATGAAATTATGGTAAATGAAATGAAGTCGAACAATTCTGGCGCAAATCCAAAGGATTTTACGTTTTGGAACACAAAATTTATTTTATCAAATCCTAAAAAAACTGTACTTAAGGCAGAAATATAGTTAGACACGCAGTATTCTAGGTTTATTCCTTTATAAATTTTTGTATAGATTTTATCGCAAACAAAATTGATTTATGCAAATATTTATAGATCAAAAGGATATCAGTAATCTTATTAAGAGTTTTATTAAATGATTGTTTGTATGTATATATATAGTAGTAGTACTTTCAACACATTTCCAAATAATGTGAGAATTAAAGTGTTAAAGTGTGAAACTACTCTGTCCGCTCATCGGTCCCTGCATCAGCCTGTTCTTCCTACATGTCTGGACATGTTTATAAAACTTTTTCATTCTTGAAGATAGAAAGTTAAAATTTTATATACATATAAACATAGATCTTTACTAGAAACTCATTTCCGTAGAAGAAAATTTTTGCCTACCTCCTGCCACCTCAAAGACATAAAAATGCCAATTTTTAATTATTTATTGTAGCGAAACTATAAGCATTTTTCAAATTTTGTTATTTAAAATCCGTTTTTTCAAAATTTTTTATATCTTCTGCACTAAAGGTGGAAAAAAATTTTCTTCGTTAGAGAGGGTTTTCACCCCCTCTCAAGTTATTGACTGTAGAAATTTGTATAATTGGAATTTTTGGCACTGTAAATTTCCGAAACTGCAAGCTTTTCTAAATTTCAATATAAATTCAGAAAGCTAACGGCTTTAATTATGTTAACCCCTCTTTCAATTTTTATTGTTTTACTTCAAAGACTAAATGTATGCATCATGTATCTTTCAAATATATTCGTATATGAATAAAAGTAATTTTAAAAATGTATTATTAGTTAGAGTAGTTTTAAAAGGACTAGATATATTTACTAGATTAGTTTTAAGAGGACTATTTTCTCTTATTGAAAAGAAAAGTGCTGCATTACAAACCTTAGGTTTGACCCAACTTTATTTATGTGTGAAATTAAGTTTACATTGTTATTCAATAGCAGTTTAAATTTTTAATAATAAAAGAAAAAATTAATGTAAGCGAGACTAGAAATTTTAAGAATAGGTTGATGAATGAACCATCAAAATTATTATCTAAGATTGGAATATTTATTAAAAGTTTTTAATATTATTTGACATGATTTGAGATCAGATGAAATTGTTTTTAAATTGAATATTAAAATTTTAAGCTTCAAAGCTTCAAAAATTTAGGACGTATATAAATAATTCATTTGAATGTTAACTGTGTGGTAAAGTTCTTACTTCTATTTACAGATTACAACGTCACAAATTATAAATCTGCAAACGAACAAGCAAAGATTCCTCTCTACTATATATTTTTTTGAAATCTTTTTTTTTATTAAGTAAGTACTTATTACATTTACGTACAAATATAAAAAAAAATTGTGCTAGGAAAATAAACATTTTAATTTATATCCATTAAATAAGCAAATTAATATCATAAATGCGTCAAACTAAATCTACATACTTAAAGACGAAGTGGATAATTTTTTTGAATTGATTTTAGTCAAGCCAAGTTGTAAATATGAAACAATTTATTAACATCCCGAAATCCATTACGTAGTTTTTCTTCGTGACGTCGAAGAATTTATTATAAAAAATCTGCAAATATATTGTAAGTAATAGTTAGATATGCATAAATATATTATAAGTACCTACACTTGTCTTTAAAGCTTTCCCCAATAACGAGTATAGCAGGGTTTTAAAATATCAGAACTAAAAAAATTCTAATGCATCAATTTAAGCAGAAAATTTCAATTTAACCCTAGAAATCATAATGCTCCTTCTATATTTTTTCTTAATTTTCAAAAATATTATTTTTTCAAGATTTAACCAAGTTGGAAAAAAGGATACACTTCAGAAGCACACTCCTTTTTTAAACACAAATGTCATTATTACGTTTATATTGTTTTCGAATTTTATCATTTATTTTTCACTTGCTACAAAAATATATTGATATTGTTTTCAATAGAAACGTTTTATTTCTTTTTTTTTTATTTATATACTAAACTTGTAACTGCCGATGTTATTATAAAAGCACCCCTTCATTTTTTCATTTTCTTATTTTTATACCCGTACGAACGTATGTTCGAAGGGTATACTAAATTTGCCTTACCGTTTGTAACGCTAAGAAATAACGGTGTTAGATATAGACTCAAGTGTACGTTTTTGATCATCGTCAAATTCTGAGTTGATTTAGCTTTGTCTGTCCGTCCGTCCGTCCGTCCGTCCGTCCGTCCGAACGATAACTCAAAAACTAATTGAGCTAAGTTCACCAAATTTTCACAAATGATTTATTGTAGTAAGTGCCAGAACCCTATTTAAATTGGACATGATCGGGGTACCGGTTCGGGTAGCTGCCATACAACTTCAAAATTTATTTGGCTATATCTCAGAAACTATAAAAGTTATGATATTGAAATTTCACACAAACGAATATATTAGTAGGGCCAATATTTCCCATAAAAGTCGTTGAAATTACTTGGCTCCTTCTGGTACCTGCCATACAACTTCAAAAGTTATTTGGCTATATCTCAGAAACTATAAAAGCTGCGATATTGAGATTTCACACAAGTGAATATGTTAGTAGGGCCGATATGTCTGGTAAAAGTCGTTGAAATCACTTGGCTCCTTCTGGTACCTGCCATACAACTTTAAAAGTTATTTGACTATATTTCAGAAACTATTAAAGCTATGGTATTGAAATTTCACACAAACGAATATATTAGTAGGGCCAATGTGTCTTAGAAAAGTCGTTGAAATTACTTGGCTCCTTCTGGTACCTGCCATACAACTTCAAAAGTTATTTGACTATATCTTAGAACTATAAAAGCTGTGATATTGAGATTTCACACAAGTGAGTATATTAGTAGGGCCGATGTGCTTGATAAAATTCGCTAAAATTTCTTGGCTCTTTCTGGTAGCTGCCATACAACATCAATAGTAGTTTGGCACAACCAGTATTTTGAATAACACATAGTACTGAAATTTTGCATAAATTAATATGGTAATACGGCAACTTAAAGTCATAGTCTGCTCCATAGTTAGTTATGGCACATTAGTTATTTGCACATAGGATAACAAATTCGTACGGGTATCACAGAGTTGACAAGGTCAACTCTATTTTTTTTCTCGTTTTATATTAACTTGGCTTCAACCTTACATTTTTTATTCAGAATACGAACTGGCGTTAACAAGATACTATATAGAATATTGATTAAATTGATAATAATGGCGCTTATTTTACCGTTTTACTTATTTTTTCTCCCTAATCTTACATTCACCATATTGCTTCCAAGTGATAACGACCTCATCATTACTATAAGGAAATGCTAGCCGAATTTCGATTGAAATTAGAATAATATTAAAATTCAAAAAAAAGAGTTGATGATTCAATTGAATACAAATTGATAAAAAATAAAAAGGAACATAAAAAAACACCTTAAATTTTAGAATTTTTTTAAGAGAACAAGGAAGTTAAAATTGTTGAAAATGAGTAAAGAAAAAAAAAAAAACACTTAAAATATAACAGAAAAAATAAATAAAAAGAAGTGAAAATTGAATATATTCTAGTCATTTAAATGATAATAAAATAAATAAGGACAAATTGTGTTTAAATTTTAAAGTAAATTTTCAATATGTTCAAATTCATTTTTATTAAATTAAAATCTCAAATAAACTGCTTTCAACACAATGCATAAATGAATTTTTATCGCATAAGTATTTATGGATAAGTAATTGAATTCTTAAAAAAATAATTTCAAATAACCTTCCAAAATATTATAATATTAAGTGAGACAAGAAATTAAACTTTGTGGTTTTGTAATATGCATTAGTTTCTCAACTTGA